AGTCTAGTCGAAGTCTCGTAGTCTAGTCGAAGTCTCGTAGTCTAGTCGAAGTCTCGTAGTCTAGTCGAAGTCTCGTAGTCTAGTCTAAGTCTCGTAGTCTAGTCTATGTCTCGTAGTCTAGTCTAAGTCTCGTAGTCTAGTCGAAGTCTCGTAGTCTAGTCTAAGTCTCTAAGTAAATAAGTTGTACGTCGGTTATGAACTTTGCTCTTGGCTTCTCTCGCCACCCTGAAGTCACAAGAGAGGTTATACATTTGTCACGGTGAGGTGGAATCAAGCGCTCGTCAATGTTTGGGCTTGTGGAGTTCTTGGTACATCTATCATCTAAAAGCTTATTCATTAGGGCTGGGCAATGAGTCGCTTTAACAAAATCCGGATTCTATGTTAGTGCACCTCTTCGGCAAATAATATGATATGAACCGCTTCTGCAAATGGGTTAGAACCACTTCGGCAAACGGGTTAGCACTACTTCAACAAATGGGTGCACCCACTTCGGCAGACGGGTCAGGAAAGAGAGTCAAGAGTCTGATTTCGGAAAATGTTTCATTGAGAATTATCCGGTTATCCTTGTAGATTATCCAGATTTTTCCCCACCTCTATTATTCACTTACCTTGCTTCAATGAAAAAATACCCATCTATCTTAAATAGAAATCAAGATATTTGCGATTGAAGAAGGTGGGGTCACCTGGTTTCAGTGATAAAATTCGTGAGAAAATGGTCGCCAAATTACGGTGACTTAAACAGCTTGAGTACTTAAAAACTGAAAAATTACATTTTTTTTTCTCCCTTTAATCAACCGTTTTCCTGTCAAATTTACCCGGAAATGTGTTTTTATATGGATATAAAACGTGTTAAGCCAAAAAAAAAAATTAGAAAAAAATATCAATCGGGAGGGAAAATGCCGATATCTTTGATTTCATTATTCTGACGAGCGTCTGATTTCACCATGACACCCCACATATAGTAGGCCTACGTAGCCACTCACCAATCACGTTGGGCTCCAAATCCACAAAGACTGCTCTGGGCACGTGCTTCCCTGCGCCCGTCTCGCTGAAGAACGTGTTGAAACTGTCGTCTCCTCTGCCCACTGTCTTGTCTGATGGCATGTTCCCGTCAGGCTGTGGGGCAGGTGGTGGTTATTTTCGGTGTATTTCCAGAGGTTTTTGGGGGGAGGGGGGTTGATGGGGAGTGGGTGATGGTTATTGTCGGTTATTTCCAGAGTTTTTGGGGGGAGAGTGGGTG